GTTACTTGCCATTTCGTTATTTTTGAATGCACACTTTTCTTACCCACTACATATGAAGTGTACACATAAGTGCTAAACGCCGATTTAATTTCAAATCAAAATATGGTGTGCTTCAAAAATTATGACATAACTAATTGTGCCCCTCTTAAAAATTACATAAAAAATTCACTTGTTTTCATTATTTTTCTTAATTTAAACACCTATAATTCAAAAGTTATGTAGCAAATTGATCCAAATTTTTTTTGAGGCTTTAAGTATACGTCAGTGAATTATATCCAACAGCAACCAGCTTGATTTAGTTTACAACAGTGAAAATGAAGCTAAATAACACAAAGGTTACCTGTTTTTTAGATTTGCCCATATATATGAAATTTTTTTTAAAAGTCTTTATAGAAGTGTTAATGACAAAAACGAAAATTACTCAACCTCATGTACACATATCGTCTTTCAAATTACAAAACCGCGTGTCGTCGTTCTGAAAACTGCGTAACTGACATTTTTTGCAAAAATTGGATTTGCTCACCGAAGCTCTTGGCTCGTGCCTTATCCATTCGTGCTGACATATACTAGCCAGAAATGCTATTGCTTTATAAAAGAGAGGACAATTTTAAAATATGAGTATTTTTACTCTCTACAAAATAATTTATGCAACCTCACATACGCGGTTTTGCGTTATCTTGATACGCGCGGTTTTGTATTATGTTGATACGCGGCTTTGTACTTTGAACGAAGAAAACCTTATATATGTACATATGTATATGATCAAGAGCAAGAAGAATGAACAAAGCAACAATTTTATACGAGAGCCGCGCGGCTCGACCGCGGCGCGTCCTCACGCGTGGCGCGGAGCGCGAGCATGGCGCGGGGTGGCGAGCCATCGCGGACCGCCCCTGAAGAGACAACATTTACTTTTTGTATTGAAATAAGAACATATGACTTTATTTCTCATATGTAAAAGTTTTGCTTATGGCTTTATTTCACCTTCCCCCTGGAAACAAAGCCATATGGCCTTATTTATCCATGTGAGGTCAAATAAAGCCATATGGCGTTATTTCCTATGGCTTTATTGCACGGCATCAAGTGCAATACATTAGAAAAAGCGCTTCTGCCTATGTTGACATCTTGTTCTTTAGCTATTCCCAACTGATAGGAGCCAGTTGCTAAAAACCGTAGTGTGGCTGCCAGTTGCGTAGTCGGTAAAGTAAAACGATGTTGTTTAAGCCGCCGCTTTAACGCATTACAGCGGCCGTACGCGCATCCTTGGCCGTAGCTGTGTGGAGTCGAAGCGACTCCGAAAGTTAGTAACCGAGCGGGCACGGCCGCCCACATCATAGTGCCAAATGGGCACGAAACTTCAGTTCGGCTAACATCGTCAGACTACGCGCACGCGCCCTAGTATTCTGTCTTGAAATCCATACGAGATTCAACTCTATTTGATTTATTACTTGGTTTTATATACATCTGATATTTAAACTCTGTGAAACACGGCGAACTCATAAGTTCTCAAATAAACAACTAAACACTTTGTAGATATATTAAAATCGAGCTAAAGCATTTCTTTTAAGTGGAAATAAAGTGTGTAAATAGCGAAAACTCTGTGTGCTTATACAAAATTATTCAGATGTCTTTCCGCTAACCTATTTTTTATTTTGTCTAACAGAATTTTACAAACATTTTTATTTATGCGATAAGACTATAAACCTAAAAGGTATGTACTGATCGAGTTAGATAAAGAAAATTACATTTAAGCTATAGCAAATAACGCCATATGGCTTTATTTCTCTTTACATGGAGAAATAAAGCCATATGGCTTTATTTGCATGGGGAAAGTGAAATAAAGTCATAAGCAAAAAATTTTACATATGAGAAATAAAGCCGTAGGATCTTATTTCAATACAAAAAGTAAATCAAGGAATGAAACCGAAACCCAAACCGAAACCGTAACCGTTTAAAACCGTTTCGTTTTTCAAAACCGAAACCGAAACCGTAACCGTTATCTTGACCTGAAAAGGAACGATACCGAAACCATTTCAATCACAGGTTTCAATCGGTTTCCAGAAATTTACAAAAATAATAAATAAAAATTTCTTTGAAATAAATGATTTATTTAACCAAAATCAGCAACATTTTGCTAAAATTCTTGTTAAGTAGTAAATAAGTATGGCAAGGTAACTTTTCGCAAAAATCTGCTGATGACTTTGTTGTTGTGAATCGATAATCGATTAATTATATTTAAGTAGTTTCTTTCCCGTACGCAATGCGAGATCCCGCGTGTGCCCAAAATAGCCCAGAAATCATGCCTGTACTCAACAAAATGGGTAATAGAGAGCGAAAATTCGAGCGTATTCGATCGTAAGTGTATTCTTCTTCCTGCCCGAAACAGCCCGAAATTCTCTCCGAGTAAAAATGGATAAAGTGTCAAAGTGCATATCAGCTGTATTGTGTTTACATGTTGCCTGCATTTACTTGGTGCTTTTAAGGAAAAGTGAATGGCCTGTTGATGTATTTTCAATCTATGTACTTAAAATCAAATTTGTGAAACCAAAATTCAATTTCCAAGTGTTTGCATTTAATACCATGTTCCGACCGACAACCAAAACATTTTTCCTTCATTTTCTTTTCATTTACAACCTTTAACTTTCATTCTTATTTTGCTTTGGCCAGGCAATTAACAATAAATCCGAAATGGCGTATTAAAGATGATAAAATATGACTTCCACTTCGATAAATAATCGAAAAAAAAAGTTTTAGCAACGAAAACATGTTTCCGATGTCGGTCAGAACATGGTATAAGTGACAAAAACAAGAACAACGTGAATCAGCTGTTTCTCGACTTGTGGGCACGAAATGTGGGTTTTTGCGTTTCCGTACTTCTGAACTTTGTTCCATTTTTGAAAGAAAATGTTTCTCTTATTCTCTAATTACCAAATCCGGTCCGGATTGTTAGGGAAAGAACCTAGTGTTGATATTATCAGTGAACTGTAATTTTCGATTTTCTTTCCTCAACGTTTAAGACATTGTGATTTAAAAAATATCAACAAAATTTGTGAAAAACCGAAACCGGAACGAAACCGAAACCAAAACCGAAATAAATTTTGAAGAACGAAACCAAAACCGAAACCGAAACACTTGGCAAAACCGAAACCCAAACCGGAACGTTATTTTGAACCGGTTTCATTCCTTGAAGTAAATGCTGTCTCTTTAGCGGCGGTCCGCGTTGGCTCGTTACCCCGCGCCATGCTCGCGCTCAGCGCCACGCGTCCGGATGTGTCGCGATCGCGCCGCGTGGCCCTCGTATAAAATTGTTGCTTTGTTCATTCTTGCCTTTGATGATATACATACATACGTACTTATATGAAGTTTTTTTAAATCAGTAAGATATATTTATATATCTATATATCGTCGTTTAAAGTACAAAACCGCGTATGTGAGTTTGCATAAATTATATTGTAGAGTAAAAACACTCATATTTCAAAATTGTTCTCTCTTTTATAAAGCAATCGCATTTATGGCTAGTATATTTCAGCACCAATGGATAAGGCTTGAGCCAAGAGCTTCGGTGAGCAACTCCAATTATTGGCAAAAAATGTCAGTTACGCGGTTTTGCAGAACGACGATACGCGGTTTTGTACTTTAAATGACGATTTTTCGAATGCGCCCTTCACACCGTAGTACAAATCCCGATACAGCCATTATCGTTAAATTTCAATCACCCCGTGAGAAATGATGCGGGAAATCGCTCGGTTTAAACGTGCCAACTATGGCTCTTTGCGACTTAAACACGTGGGTCTCGACTCGAACAAACCCTTCTTCATCAATGAATGTCTGACAAAAACGAACTACGATATTCTTCGAGCGGCTTCACGCCACAAGAAGTCTAAAAATCTGCACTCAGCGTTCTCAAAGCGTGGTATAATATATGTTAAAAGAGAGCATGACAGCGAGCCACTACCTATCGACGACATGGAAAAGCTGGAATATCTTTTAAAGAGTGTTCAAAAAAAAGCAGGGAACAATTGTTGTTTTCGTGCTTCCCAGGATCATAAACAATGTAATCTGGACAACAGAGAGAACCTGCAACAAATTTGCATCAACAACTGCGAGTAGAAGTAATGGCGCAAATCTTAAAACTCTGTTTGAGCTGAACTTTTTTGCCTTTTTCCTTTACTTTTTTAACTTAATTTGTTTACCCTTTATGTACTGTTTAGACCTAAACAATGCCAACCTGCCTTATGTTCGTTTACGTGCTTTTACGAATGTGATTTTTATTTCATTGCGCCGCTCAGTCAATTCTAAGAACTATGATTTATCGGCATAAAGATCATGTGAGTTCCGTGGGCAATACTCATGCCACAATTAAAGTTCTTTGCAAACAGAGAAGTGGCCTAAAAATTTGTCATATAAACTCTCAAAGTCTGAAGAATAAAATTGATGAGTTCAGATATATTTTTGAATCCTCCTCTGTAGACATAATATGCATATCTGAAACTTGGTTTAAACCATGCTACTCAGATAATCTTTTTAGGATGAATGGTTATAATTTGTTTCGCTGTGATCGGCCCAGTAATGGAGGCGGCGTTGCTATTTATATAAAGAATAGCATTAAGAGCAGATTCATTAGCAATTCAAGGACCGACGATGAAATTGAATACCTTTTTATTGAAGTTGTACAAGGCGTCGATAAATTATTGGTTGGGTGCATTTACAGACATAATCGCAATCTAAACATTAGTTCATTTACTGAGCTTCTTTACACAATCACGTTGCCGTATTCAAATATAATTCTAACTGGTGACTTTAACTGTAATGTTCTATGCGACGGCTCTTTGCCTAGTGAATTGCGGACATTGGGTCTTAACCTTGTTAACTTCACCCTTCCTACACGTTATACTGCAACAAACAATACGCTGTTAGATCTTTTCTTTGTTAGTGATGTTTCAAAAACGTTAATGTTTGACCAATTGTCCGTGCCTGTCTTCTCAAAACATGACCTAATATTCTTCGTTTATGACTTTCAGACTATAACTTCTACCCAAACGATCACCTATACAGATTTCAAAAACATTAATTATGAACAGCTTGGTACGAAGATAAACACAATAGATTGGTCTTGCGTATATTACATGGAATCCGCAGAGGATCAAATAAGCTATCTAGAAAATAATCTTACTTTGTTATTCGATGAGTTTGTCCCTTATAAAAAAATCATTACACAAAAGCCTCAACATCCATGGTTTAGTATCGAAATAAAAGACCTCATTGTTAAACGAAACAACGCTTATAAGCGATGGACACTTCAGGCTTTCCTTCTTGTTTGAAAGTTTTTGTTCGATCAGAAATGAGGTCGCGAAAAAGATTAGAAATGCAAAAGGCTATATTATGAACGAAAATTCTCCCAAATCGTGGGAAGTAAAGGTAATTGAAAGGAAATAAAGAAGATGAATCTAGTCAGCAAACATGTACGTGACATAAACATAGATGATATCAATAAGCTTTATGCTGATTTTGCTTCAAACTCATATGCCTCTGATAACGAAATAGACGGTGATTACCAAATCCATGATAATGAATATAACTCCTCGTTTAAGTTTGTATGTGCAAGTCAGTTAGATGTTTTGGAATCATTTTTATCAATAAAGTCCAATGCCGTCGGTCTAGATAAACTTCATCCTACATTTATAAAATCTTTGCTCCCTGTTATGCTGCCATTTTTCACACATGTCTTTAATACGATACTCACAACCCAGCTGGAAGAAGGCAAAAATTATCCCAATACCAAAGAGTCATAATGAATATAGACCCATCGCTATCCTTCCTTTTTTATCTAAAGTTTTTGAACACATTCTTTATAAACAAATGAATGAATTTTTAACATCTAAAAATCTATTATCACATAAACAGTCTGGATTTAGGAAAAATCTTGGATGCATTACCGCTTTAACCGATGTGGTTGAAGATATACGCGCTCGATTCAGGAAAATTTGAATTTTTGATTCTCCTAGATCATTCTAAAGCTTTTGACACCGTAAATCACAGAATATTATGTAGAAAACTTTTCAATAATTTCAATTTCTCGTACCACTCTGTAAAATTATTAAGCTCTTACCTAACTGGACGCTGCCAAGCTGTATTCGCAAACAACGGCCTTTCAGACTTTATGCCCTTAAACCGTGGCGTTCCACAAGGCTCCATTTTGGGCCCTTTTTGTTTTCATTGTACATCAATGAGTTACCAACTGTGATAGGAAAGTGCAATATACATATGTACGCTGATGACGTCCAAATTTATGCAAGCTGTGATGTTACTGATGTCAATACCTGTATTTCGTTGTTGAATGTAAATTTAAATAAAATTAACTCGTGGGCTGTTGAAAACTGTTTGTCTCTTAACCCGTCCAAGTCCAAATGTTTAGTTTTAGGGAGAAGAATTATTGAATACACTACGCTACCCAAACTATACATTAATGATATTCCCATTGATTATGTCACTTGTGTAAGAAATGTCGGTATCACTTTCAACAGAAACTTAACTTGGTCGGATCATATCAATACATGCTGCGGTAAAGTGTACGCGATGCTTCGTACCCTTTGGGTTACACAATATTTTACGCCACTAAAAACCAAAATGCTTTTGGCTAAATCGTATCTGATTCTATCTCTCCTTTATGGCTGCGAACTATTTGCAAATTTCGACTCAGTAAGTAAAAGGAAATTGAATGTTCTATTTAACAACATAGCCAGGTATATTTTCACTCTTAAACGTAGTGATCACATATCTGAGCACGCCCAGAAAATCTTCGGTATCAATTTCAATGGCTTACTCAAAACTAGAAGTCTGCTCTTAATGCACAAAATCATTTATACTAAAAATCCGAATTATCTATATAACAGAATATCCTTTTTGCGCTCAAATCGTGGAAACAAACTAAAACAACCTGTTTATAATTGTTCGCTATCTGAACGCCATTTTTTTCGTGCACACTACCCGCCTGTGGAACTCACTGCCACACACTTTGCAGGATTTGCGTAGCGCGATGAGGTTCAAGGCTACCCTGTTAAAGCACTTCCAAACATAATGCAGACTGGATTTAAATTAAATTATTCGCTTAAACTATAATTGTATGAATCTAAGAACCTATTCACGAAATGTATAAATTTAATTTTTTTTCTTTACTCTCTATAACTATTCTATGCTATTCCACATTTTTAACAATTATTATCAATTTGTTTTCAAACATTAATTTCATAATCAACAATGTTACGCGATTAATATTACTGTTTATTTTTAAGTATTCGTTTTATTTAATTCTTTTTTATTTCATTTTATCAACTATAATTTATTTGCTTAATCGAACCTAATACATCATAAGAATCTATTTTTCTTTTGTATTAGCGAAATAATAAAATAAATAAATAAAATAAAATATATGTATGTATATGAGGTGGAGTACTTTTCGTCTTTGTCATAAACAATTTTATACATACCCCATGTTAATATGCATCTTACCGATTTAAAAGAAAATTGCATCGAGCTTATGGCCCGATTCGTTTCATATGGGTGTTTCCATCGTAAGGTCCACCACGACAAAAAAATAAAAGTCTTATATCTAACGTATTTACGGGCCGATTTGTCTGCTTTTTAAAATATATACTGACTATGTAAGTAGAATCATGTTTGCGTAAAATGGTCTTCCTAGGTGGCGCCAAGGTTGAGATCTTTCGAAAAACCGTATTTATGGTCCGATTTATTTCGAATTTGGCGTATGTAGTTGAAACATAATAAGTCATAGCTTTCCAACTAATTCACCCTGAATTGGCGCTGAAGTCAAAATATAAAGTATATTCTGCACAAAATACATGTTTTATTTGCGTTAAAAATTTATTTAAAAGCAATATTTATTTATTTATTTATTTATTTGTCTACAGAACTTTTTCTTACAGACTATTGAAATGAAATGAAAGTTTTGAATTGTATCAAATAGGACTTAGTTAAATAAATAAAAAAGATCGAGCTTAAATTGTATAATATTTACACTAAAATCAAGAGTCCCACAGTAGCTATTGCATAATCGAGCACATCGTACGAGAAGTTCATTAAATGCATAATTAGTTTTATTGTATGACTGAGTAAATAAGCGATTAGTCCTTAAATTATGAGGAGAAATATGACTCTGAAACAGATCAGATAGCTCACAGCAGTTGATATTGCCGTTGATGATGTTATATACAAAAATTAATGAGAAATACGCCCTTCTATCGCATAGTGATTGCAGCCCAAGTAGTTTGCGGCGCCCTATGTAGTGAATATGGTCAATTGGCCAGTCGATCTTATAGAAAACCATTTTTGTAAAAACCTTTTGAACTTTTTCAATTTTATTTGCGTGAACCTCATAGTAAGGATTCCATACTAGGGAGCAGTATTCAAGCCGAGATCTGACTAAGGCAACGTAAAGCGACTTCAGAGTTTGAGGGTCTTAGTAGGACGTGTGAGATGAGCAAGACGGAGCAAGATGGTGAATGTGTGTCGAGCAACTCGATCGGTCGAAAGTTGAGCAAGTGGTGTCACCGCTCCTGGATGTGGAGGGTGCCCACGAGCGAGGCGATTAGACTTGTGAGACGAGCAAGACGGAGTATGAATGTGGAGTGAAGTAGTCGTGTAAGTCGTTCTAGTGTGAGCTGAGTCAGTTAAGTGGGTCAGGGTGAGTTGAGCCAGTCCAGCAAATCTCGCCGGCGAGCATTACTCCGGTCTGTTCATGGGTACGGCCCCTTTGGGGAGTATCGTGGTGGCTGTGGTTTAATACCTAAATGCGGGTAGAACCAGCAATGGTTCAATGTGGAGTTGCATTGCAACCGGATGTCGTGATCCACAGATCGTCAGAGGTTTAGGTAGGCCTCGGCCGTACCAAGGTGGTAAGTGTGTCCACCACATACTGCCAATTGGTACTGAAGTGCTTGCAGTTCAGGGCAGTGATTAATGCTAAAATTAATCCGTTGTGCCAAATGCGGGCACCGTGGTTAAAGCCGTTGGCAGGAAATCACGTAAAGCCTACATGAAATCTATGTCTATATCGTTGTAAAGCTCATACAGCTCATCGTTAAATCGTCTGCGATATTCGCCATCACCAACGCGTAAAGGTCCGTAAATCTTTCGCAGAATCTTTCTCTCGAAAACTCCAAGGACCATCGATATATGAATTCATATATTTTGATAATGAAATAAATTCGAGCATAAATACGATTTTTAGTTACATATACATAAGTAACTCAATTTCAGCGCCACACAGCGGCAAATTTTTTTCGAAAGAATTCTTTTTCCTGTTATCAATACATATTTTGCATCTGAGGATAATCGGACCATAAACACGATTTTTTAGTAATAACTCGACTCCAACGCTACCTGGCGGCTCTTTTTTCAATAGTATTATTTTTCCTATTGTCAATACATATCTCGAATATGGGTATTTCCATACGTCGCATACGTGACAGTCGTACGTTTCAATGTGATACAAACAAGGAATACCATTTGTTTTCTTTAACTTTTTTGGGCCATTGTATAGCACATAATTAGCTCCATATTTAACCGAAAAATGAAAACAATCGAACTGAAATATAAGCATTTAAAGAGAGTGTCGTGGAAGTAGATTTTTTCTTTTCTTACAAAATCGCAAAACTCTGCGAATTGTGGATGGCTATTTGCATGAAACTTATTTTAATATGATTTGGAGCAATTCTAGTTGTTTTTAATGTGTTTTGAATTAATGCAACTTGTTTCAATTTTCTTTTACAACCCCAAGTGTCTCGTGACATAAATTTCCATCGTTATATTTTTATTACCAAAACACACAGTTTGTTACCAAATGTTGTGTAAGAATCTTTCGCTTGCAATAACTAAGTTCGTGCCTGTAAAATCCATAATCGTGCGCAATAAACCACCATGGTTTAATTCAAAACTGTGCAATCTAAAGAACACAACGAACAAAGCCTTCAAAAAGTCTAAGTCTAGTAATTTAGAAAGTGACCGTTTGAAATTTTTAAAACTGAGAAAAGAATTTGACGTCCTTCACAATTTTTTATTTAAGCAATACATGTTTTCTGTTGAATCTAGTCTTAAATCGAATCCTGCTAGTTTTTGGCAATACGTTAACTCAAAAAGGAAAACAACTGGCTTCCCAACCAGTTTAGAATATGAGGGTAGTATTTCTGAGACGGTTGAAGAGTCATGCGAGCTTTTTGCAAGCTTTTTCCAGAAAGTGTACGACAAGTATGAGACCAAATCTTTTCATAGGCTCCCACCACTGCCAGTGGAAGCCATTACTTCTTTCGAAATATGTGCGGAAGATGTTTTGCAAGCAATCTCTAATTTAAAATCTAGCTTTAAAACTGATAGTGACGGATTTTCCTCTCACATCTTAAAAATATGTGCTGATATTATGGCTCCACTCTTGTCCTTGCTATTCAAAAAATGTATACATCATGGTGTATTTATGGACTCATGGATACTATGCTCTATTGAACCCATATACAAATCAGGTGATCGGAACGATGTCTGTAACTATAGACCTATCGTGAAACAGAGTACCATAGCAAAATTATTCGATAACATAATCCAAAGAAAACTCTTTAATCATGTAGACAATCTTATATGTAGATGCCAACATGGTTTCGTCCCTGGGCGTTCGACCTGCTCTAACCTCCTCTTAGCTACTAACCAAATAATAAATGCTTTTAAAAACCATGCTCAGTTAGATGTAATTTACACTGACTTTTCAAAGGCCTTCGACAAGGTCGACCATTCAATACTGTTGTATAAGCTGGAGCGTTATGGAGTAAGTGGTAAACTCCTAGATTTCTTCGCTAGTTTCCTGAAGGGTAGAAAACTATTCGTAAAAATTGGCACTTCTGTATCAAAGACATTTGTCGAGGCATGGTCTGGCATACCTCAAGGAACTCACTGTGGTCCACTGCTATTCATTCTTTTTATAAACGACTTGCCGAATCATTTCAAGTTCGCCAATTGTCTGATGTTTGCAGACGACGTAAAACTTCTGCTAGAGCTTCGCAGCTTATCCGATAGCGTAAAGTTGCAATCCGATCTGCATGCATTCGAACAATGGTGCTCTATAAATAATCTTTTTCTGAATGTTAAAACATGTTTCACTGTAACTTACACTAGGAAGCCAAATTTCATTGATTATGGTTACAATTTGAACAATTGTATTATAAGCCGTAGCTACGAGATGAAAGATCTTGGCGTTGTTTTCGACACCAAGCTTTCATTCACACGACATATTGACTACATTGTGTCTAAAGCATTCGCAATGATTGGTTTCATCAGAAGAAATTCCTCTGATTTT